CCCCGGCGGCGGAGCTTGCAGTTGCGCTGCGATCCGGCCCTGCGTTCATCTCAGCTGGGCAGCAGAGCGCGACTCCTCTCATACACCCAACAAAAGAAATCTGTACCCTAATTTACTAACTTTAACTATTACGCCCCGCAGGCTCATGCCAACTAAGAAGTGGAAAACCGACTCTGTCTACGAGTTTGGTGCTTTTATCTTTCCCTTCTGAATCTTTTGCTATATGTTACATTTACTCCTTAATATTTCTAGCACAATAGGACTTTTCCTAGTAACAGTACCCTATAATACCAACCTGTGGACTGCGACTTTGACTTCAAAATAGCTTTTTGTTTTTGATGTAAAGTGCGCTGGCTCACCCCCCTCTGTTCCCATATCTTCTCCCTTCTCGTACAATACCAACATCTGTTCCTCCCCCAAAATGCAGCCACTATGTAACGTTTTTCTTCTTCCTCTTTTTTTTTTTTTTTCGAGACGGCAGTCTTGCTCTGCGCCCTGCAGGCTGGCGTCCGTGGCCTGATCATTGCTCTCCCACCTCCTCTCCTGGTCAATGTGATTCTCCTGCCTCAGCCCTCCCGCGTAGCGGGACTTACCGGCTGCGCACCATGCCCCCTACATTTTTTATGTTTCGTGAGAGACGTGGGGTTTCCCAGTTGTCAGGTTGGTCTGAATTCCTGACCTCGCTGATGCCCCCCCTTGGCCTCCCGGTTCTAGGATTTACAGGCGTGCACCACCCGCCTGCCCGGCCACCGTTTTGTATGTTTCAATCCCACACTCCGGCTTAATTTGTTCAGTTCCTCTCAGTCCACAAAATATGGGACCTGTCAGTCTTTGCAATATTAGCTGAAGGAGTTGTTAAATATTTACATTCCTCTTTTTCTTAACGGACTTTACTACCGCTAACCTATCTTTGTATGTATCAATTTTTTTTATTCTTTATTCTTTATTTTTTTTTGAGACGGAGTCTCCGCTCGTGTCGCCCGCGCCCGCTGGCGTGCGTCGCTGCGCTGCCGCTCCTGCCCGCCTGCTACAGAACTAGAAAGAGACACATGACACAGTTTATGCTTACTTTCTCCTTTTTCTTTTTTTTTTTTTTTGAGACGGAGTCTCGCTCTGTTGCCCAGGCTGGAGTGCAGTAGCGCAATCTCGGCTCACTGCAACCTCCACCTCCCGGGTTCAGGCGATTCTCCTGCCTCAGCCTCTTGAGTAGCTGGGATTACAGGGATGCGCCACCACGCCCGGCTAATTTTTATATTCTTAGTAGAGACGGGGGTTTCACCATGTTGGTCACGCTGATCTCAAACTCCCAATCTCATGATCTGCCCTCCTCGGCCTCCCAAAGTGTTGGGATTACAGGCATGAGCCAGAGTTTTTCTCTTAACTCAGTTATTAAGATACCCTGATTCAGTGTTTTGAAGCAGTCATCAAATTCAGAATTCAGATAGAAGTCTACAGTCTATATTTCTCTTTTTAAAATTTATGGAGTTTCTTGAACTGTAAAGCAATTCTATGTGATTGTAATAGGTTAGTTAACTGTGTCTGTATTGTATATGGGAAAACTTTTTAAATAAAAGCTTTATTGTAAAGTGGTCGGGCATGGTGGCTCATGCCTGTAATCCCAACAACTTTGGGAGGCCAAGGTGGGCGAATCACCTGAGGCCAGGAGTTCAAGATCAGCCTGGCCAACATGGTGAAACCCCATCTCTACTAAAGATACAAAAATCATCCAGGCATGGTGGTGGGCACCCGTAGTCCCAGTTACTCGGGAGGCTGAGGCAGGAGAATTACCTGAACCCGGAAGGTGGAGGCTTCTGTGAGCTGAGACTGTACCACTGTGCTGCAGCCCGGGCAACAGAGTGAGACTCCATCTCAAAAAAAAAAAAAAGTGGCTGGGCATGGTGGCTCACACCTGTAATCCAGCACTTTGGGAGGCTGAGGGGATGGATTGCAAGGTCAGGCATTTGAGACCAGTCTGGCCAACACAGTGAAACCCCGTTTCTACTAAAAGTACAAAAAATTAGCCGGGCGTGGTGGTGGGCACCTGTAATCCCAGCTACTTGGGAGGCTGAGGCAGGAGAATCGCTTGAACCCAGGAGGCGGAGGTTACAGTGAGCCAGATCGTGCCACTGTGCCCCAGCCTGGGCGACAGAGCAAGACTCCGTCTCAAAAAAAAAAAAAAAAAAGGAAAATACAAAACTTTACATAGTGTCTGCATTTTTTATTTAGGAACAGATGTTGTTATTGTAAAGAATGGAAGAAGAATATGTGGAACAGGAGGTTGTTTAGCCAGCGCACCTTTACATCAAAACAAAAGCTATTTTGAATTCAAAGTCCAGTCCACAGGTTGGTATAATGGTACTTTACTATTAAAAGTCCTAATTGTTCTAAATATTAAGAGTAAATTGTAACATATAGAAAAGATTCAGAAGGTAATATAAAAGCACCAAACTCTTAGAAGATCTGGGTCTTCCACTTCTTATTGTATGATCCTGGGTAAATTAGTTAATTTAGTTAAATTAGGTACAGTTTTCTTTTTTTTTTTTTTTTGAGACGGAGTCTCGCTCTGCTGCCCAGGCTGGAGTCCCCGGCGGCGGAGCTTGCAGTTGCGCTGCGATCCGGCCCTGCGTTCATCTCAG